ATATAATTAATTGCTTTAAAATAATCTAATCTAATCTAATAACAAATGCACATGCTTGTAGAAGGAGATAAAAGTGCTATAGAAATTATTGTAATTTCTTAGCTTATATATATTGGTATATGATGTTGCATGTGAGAGGATAACAATTATAAATAGAGTTCTATTTAAATAATAATAGTATAATTAAATTTTGAAACTAACTTGTAGTACTTTGAACTATTTCAATTTTAGTCGGTGAGAGATCCTCACTTTGTGTGTAATTATTAATCATATAGCATGTGAATAATTGTTTGCAGATTAGCATTATTAATCATGTAGCATGTGAATAATTATTTACAGTTTGATCATTGATCACATATAGGAGCGAGGGTGTAAATTTGGCATTTAATAAATCGTCTAATTAAATTAAGCGTACCGTGAACTACTTGAATTTTAGCCGGTGAGAGATCGTCACGTTGTGTGTAATTATTAATCATATAGCATGTGAATAATTGTTCTTAGGTTGGCATTGTTAATCATGTAGCACGTGAATAATTATTTGCAGTTTGATCATTGATCACATATAAGAGCAAGGGGGTAAATTTAGCATTTAATAAATCGTCTGATTTACCTAAGCTGCTCTTTCATTTAGGTTTACATTTCAATTTGAACTATATCTTTATCTTCATACTATGTATATTCAATAAGAATTCTTCAATTTATCAACTTACTTTTAATGGATTAGTATTTGAATTCCAAAGGTATTTTTGTCAACTAAAAGATTTTCCCGAACTCGTGTTTTAAAGGGAGTATGACTAGTTTTTGTGCACGTGCAATGCACGTTGTATTTTTTGTTTATTTTCTTACTATAAAATAAGTTAGATTCATTTTGAGTTAAAATCTATAAACATGAATTATTACATTTACCATAAATTTTATTTAAATATTTTTTAAAAATGTATGAAATAGATGATTAATTTTGAAAATCTCTAAGGGGTAGGAATAAACAACTAACAAGTTTACAGTGGAAGATAGGAGAACGTAGTACATTCTTAAGAATTATTAATCTTTACTTAGTTTGTTTATAAAAATAGGATCTCATTATTAGCTAACTATAAGACCTAGTACATTATTTTTTTTGTTGGACGTTCAAGGCAGGCAGAGGACCCATATGAGTCCTCATCGCAATGAATATTATACAATATAAGTATAAAGAAAAAAGGAGGGTTGATCAATGGTTTAGTTGGTGAGGGAAAACTCTAGCAGCTTAATTTGGTATGTGAATATATAATATATGGAGATGGAGAAGGGTGGTTTTGAAAATAGGGGGTGCGTGTGGGTAATTAATATGGTTTTTGTTTATGTGGTTTTCTTCGTTCATTTTGAAGATATCTGTGGTCCTGTGGATATATGTAGTTATAGCATTGATGTTCTCTTTTGGTTTTGTGGAAAAGTTTTGATGTTAAAAAATTAAATTATCTAATCCGGTTAAAGTAGGATTATATAAGTTAAACCCATTCATGAAATTTATTCTAACCAACACCCATGTGTAAATATTACAATTGGCATTGAGATCTAAGATATGTGTGAGACTCTCTTTGGATTTTATACAAACAATATCTATTTAAATAATAATAGTATAATTAAACTTTGTGATCTAAAAAAAAAGATCAAACATACAATATAAGTAATTGTTTTAAAATAATCTAATCTAATCTAATAAGAAGAAAATAGATGAAAATGATGTGAAAATTGTTGCAATTTCATAATTCATAATTTTAAAAAAATCTAATCTAATTTAATAAGAAGAAAATAACAAAGGCACATACATGTTGAATGAGATGAAAGTGCTATGAAAATTATTGCAATTCTGATCTGAAAAAAATCAAACATACAATATAATTAATTACTTTAAAATAATCTAATCTAATCTTATAAGAAGAAAATAGATGAAAGTGCTATGAAAATTGTTGATATTTTTTATATGAAAAAAAATCAAATATACAATATAATTAATTACTTTAAAATAATCTAATCTAATCTAATAAGAAGAAAATAACAAAGGCATATACATGTAGAAGTAGATGAAAGTGCTACGAAAATTATTGTAGTTTCTTAACTTATAAACATTGATATGTGATGTTGTATGTTAGAGGATAACAATTGTAAATAGAGTTCTATTTAAATAATAGCAGTATAATTAAACTTTGAAACTAATTATGCAGTACCATGAACTACTTAAATTTTAGTTGGTGAGAAATTGCCACATTGTGTTATCATATCGCAGCTGTTTGTTTTAATTTCTTTTTTATAATTTTCAGAATGATTTTCTCTTTAATTTGTTTGGTGGATTTTGTAAATACCCGGTCCACATTATGTATATTTGTAGGTCTGCATTGTTTCGTTGTTCGACCTCTGGGGCGGACATTATTTGTCTCACTAATTTGTTTGGTTTTTGCATATACACCATTCATCTTGTATACATTTGTAAATTTGGCATTTAATAATTTCATTCATCTTTCAATTTCAATTTAAACTATATCCTTATTTTCATACTATGTATATCCAATAAGAATTTATTAATTTATCAACTTACTCTTACTTAATGGATTAGTATTTGAATTTCAATGATATTTTTGTTTACCAAAAGATTTTCCCAAACTCGTACTTTTAAAGTAAGTATGATATGATATGATAGTTACAATTTAAAAACAAATATATAATGAAATGAGATGTGTCACCTAGTATCTATTTAGAGTCTTTTAGGGGTGCTAAACCGTATCCATATTCGAGGAAATATCCGTAACTGTATCCATTAGAATACGAATATGGTTACTCAAATCTATAACCAATAGGATATGATTACGGATATGGTTTTGTAGTGAAATATCCGTATCCGAAATATCCGAATACATATTGGTCATACTCTAAAGATAGTTTTGATTTTTAGATTATGGATTTGTGGTTAATTTTGATGATCAAGATGTCTAATCTTAGCTTTTCAATCATAATGAACATATTAACGAAATTTTTTGTATCACGTGAACTATATTTTTCTCAATACTGTCTAGTTTTCTCATATCCTTTTTGTATCTGTATGCATATCCGTTTATATATCCGCATCTGTATCTGTAACCATATCCTATTTTAGCGAATATGGATATGAATTTTTCTTACCGAGGTATATCCGTATCCGTATCCGAGATGGGCAAGCGGATATGGATATGATAAGCAACATATTCGAGCCGTATCCACACTGAATACACTCCTAGAGCCTTTGTACGAGACGAGAAAGATAGTCATTTATTTTATATGATAAGTGGTTAGTTCGGTTAATCATCGTATCTGCTACTTTAAACTTTAAAGTAAAACCTTAAAATAATTGTTCATACTACAGTAAAATTTTAAATAATAAACAACCGTCCATGCTACAGTAAAATTACGAACCTCCAAAACACTGCTCATGCTAAGTAGAATTTTGTGCCTAAAACACTATTTATGCTACAATTAAAATTTTGAATCATATGACAAATACTATTCATTACAGTAAATGCATTGGAGTAATTACCAAACTTAGTAGAGTAAGATGCTGTTTGGTTCATTTCTTAGAAACCTAAGTTTGAGAGATTATTCATGAGAAATAGATTGTGGGGTCCATTTCCATATTTTCAAGCCAATTTCATGACATTTTGGAAGGAAATTAGTTTCCTTAAATTTGGGACCCATAGCACTATTGTCTTACTAGTAGGTGAGTCTCACATGCACAACATTTCTTATTTTTCCTCTCTCAACCAAACACAAGAAAAGTAAATCAAACACCTTCACATGGGTGTGTCGGGTGTTTTGATTTCCTTCTATTAGTTTCTCAGCCAACCAAACAGCCCCTAAAAAATACAACAAAAATAATGAATAATACTAATCCTAATTAGATGTGCAAAACAATATACTAGATTGTGCTTAGCACGAGATTAATAGCAGTGTTGAACAACGTTGAAATACTAATCAAGTTGATCTTAAAATTATGTTCGGTGATTTGAATTGAATTGTGGCAATAAGTAAGCCAGGAGGATCAAATACTAAGCCATTAACCAACAATAAAACTAGGACACCTTGACACTTTGCGGAACTAGCATCTATCTATCACATGCGATAAAGTTCATTATAGAATTGATATATATTTTCAATATCTGGTTCAGGTCCAAATCTAACATAAAATAAATAATTTAGGCCCCCATCCCGGGTGTCAAACCTGTTCCTGTTTCGGTTTCACATCTAAACATTTTAAACCGATCCAAAACTAAATCCAACCCGTCAAACTACATATTTCGGATCTTAATGGGAACCCGAACCATAAAGCCCCAACCCGTTTCGGATCCTACTAAGAAATTTCTTCTTCATTATTGATCATTTTCCTCTCACAAAGAAGGGATCCGTGAAAAAAAATTGTTTTTGTTTGAGAAAGGGGTTTTAGATCAGTCATCTGAAGATCAAATCTAGGGTAATTTTTTTTGTCTCTTAATTGTTTCATAGATCTTGTACTAGTAGCCGAACCGTTTCAAGATTCGATCCAAATTTTTTCCCCATAATTTTATGGTTAATTTTATTTAGTTTAGTTGTCGTAGTTGCAGAATCTAGAGTTATAGGACTAGTATCAGATCCTTAATATTATTGCCAATCGAGCTGAAATTTTTAAAGTTCATTTTTTTTGTTTTAAAATCATAAAATATGATCTTAAACTGTGGAGATTTTGATCCTTTTAAAATCTCTAGTTTATGTTTGTTTTACACTTTTTCTTGATTAATCCTCGCTATTTGATCTCTTATTAGATTTTTTACTTAGTTAGATCTCTGCTTAATATTGTTCAGAAGAGAGGCCCTAACCCTAATAGCGGTTAAAGTCCCTGTGTCTCTTAATCAGACATAATTGGTCTGTAATTTGTGAATTTTCGCCGTGATTGTCGTAAATTATCTTAAATGGAAAATTAAGCCCAACTTAAGTAGTTGAAATTGTTTTCGTTGCAGACTCTCTAGACATCAATTGCCTTTGTGTTCCTCCTTAATCAACCATGTCCGGTCAAAGCCAGCGCCTGAATGTGGTCCCCACCGTCACCATGCTTGGTGTCATGAAAGCCCGGCTTATCGGTGCCACCCGTGGCCATGCCCTCCTCAAGAAGAAATCTGATGCCCTGACTGTCCAATTCCGTCAAATACTCAAAAACATAGTCTCCGCAAAAGAATCCATGGGCGAGATCATGCGTGCATCCTCGTTTGCTTTAACCGAGGCCAAGTATGCTGCGGGTGACAACATCAAGCATATTGTCCTCGAGAATGTGCGCTCTGCTTCTGTTCGTGTTCGATCTCGCCAGGAAAATGTTGCGGGTGTCAAGCTGCCTAAGTTTGAGCACTACACTGACTCGTCTCTAGCTGATTCCAAGTCCTCCAATGATCTCACAGGGCTTGCCCGTGGTGGACAACAGATACAAGCTTGTCGTGCTGCGCATGTTAAGGCTATTGAGGTTTTGGTGGAGCTTGCTTCACTTCAGACTTCTTTCTTGACTTTGGATGAGGCTATTAAGACGACTAACCGGAGGGTTAATGCTTTAGAAAATGTTGTGAAGCCAAGGCTCGAGAATACGATTATTTATATTAAGGGGGAGCTGGATGAGTTGGAGAGGGAAGATTTTTTTAGGTTGAAGAAGATTCAGGGGTTCAAGAAGAGAGAGGTTGAGAGGCAGATGCGGGCATCAAGGGAGTTTGCAGAAGAGCAGGTTGCTGAGAATATCTCGCTGCAGAAAGGGATCTCGATTGGTGCAGCTCACAACATGCTTGTTGCTGGTGGAGAGAGGGATGAGGATATCATCTTCTAGTGTTTTTTAGTATTGGTTAGTATTCTTGCTTCTTCAAAAGATTAATTTACTTTGTGCTGTTGCTGTGCTTTGTGGAATTTCAAATAAGAATGATGATCTTGTGTCATTCACTTCTTGACAACTGTCTTATAATAATTTCGGTGCAAGAGCTTGTATGGGGAACTTAATGTCAATGTATTACTTCTAGTGGATACGTCAATAACAAATTTTGGTGATGTTTATGAAATGTCAGGTTGTTTTGCTGCTTTAAACTTTCTGCTTCCATTATCTAGATATCAAAGATGAGTATCCTCTATGTTTACACCCCTAGCAGGGTGATGCCTTATAAACTCTTTCAGGTGATGCTTTTGGGTTATACCTTTGTGGTGTTCATGAAGAATTTAATTGTTTGGTGAAATCTATACGTGGGGGACATGTTGTAATGTTTTTAGCATGCTAATTCTGTCCAATATAAGTCAATTGATATGCCAATCGCAGTTAAGGCAGACCAACAAGATATCTGAGGTTTGAATTACTACAAGTTAATTTGACAGTGTTATGTCAGGAAAGAATAATAAATCAGCGCATATAAAGCTTGTGATTATACTCCGACTTATTTCATAACACAATCATAGTAAATCATCATTTAACTATCAAAATCTATGAGCGGATCCCTCCATCCACAAAGTTGAAAACCATTTGTTTTAGATCCACAGTAGAAATTTAAACAAATAGAAAAGAATCAACAATAGCGAAGAGTGGTTGATCGTATTTATCTCTTTATTATATATGGTTGATGGTGAAAGAGTTACTGCATTGATGTATAAATATGTGTTGTTTGCCATGTTTTTTTATAATAACATAAGAAATATCTGAATCTACGGATTTCAATTCTGTGGGTGACTGATCTTCAAATATATATGGTTAGGCATCCAAATTGTTCATTCATTCAGTGTCCACGGAGTTACAGGCATCCTCTAATTTTTTATGGGTCGATGTTTTGATCAATGATCACTCGCTATTTTTGTTGACTTGGCTAACACATATAATGCAATAGCATTATGGAAACCCTTGAATCCTTTAGGTTTCTTTTGGATTTCCAGCTTCTGAACTTTCTGAACATTGCTCAATATTGTGGGGCTGAATCCTTTAGGTTTCTTTTGGATTTCCAGCTTCTGAACTTTCTGAACATTGCTCAATATTGTGGGGCAAATAAGTGTTGTAGCTATACATTGTGCAATTTGTTCCCAGGACTAGTTATGCATGACTTCAGCTATTTCTCTCACAGCATATTGATTATCTCAGTGTAATTGGAGGTACTTACTATTTCAGAGTTTGATGAAGGTTCATGTCCTTTTAAGAAATCATATTGGAAAATGGAGGGAAATGTACATGTTCAGTTATAAAGAGAGTTGGACTGAAGGAGAAATTGTAAGAGGAGTTAAATTAAATTAACCGTATAAGTTTAATAGGTTAAATTGAACCGACATCTGTGTTATCTGTGATCATTACTGGTATAAACCAGTAATTCTTCCATAATTCTTCATGTTAAAAGGGAAAGATTTTGTGAAAAATAACCCAATTTTTATTCTATTGCACATAAGTACTAGGGCAACTTACCATGTTGTCCAACACGTACATGTTTAAAATTTTTTCCTTTTCCTGAATGATAGTGTTCTGTTAGCTTTTTTCTTTCTGGATTATGAATATTTGAGCTTTAATTTTTGTATAACTAAAGCTAAGAGGTGTTAGAATGCTGTTGGATAAGTTGAAACCTGTAGGCATATACTGCTGAAAAATTCAAGATTTGAACTATATATGGTGCCCAAAGTGAAGGTTAAAGTGCCATTTCTGTAGTACTGTTAAATGTTAATAACCTTCTATGGGGATGGATAAAAAGTGTTCATGGGTACTGTATAAGGTGCT